TCTGATATATACATAAGTACAACAAATTGTACTCAAGTCCCTCCCACATAATCATGTAAACAAAATGATCTCATGATCATAAATAACTTTATAAATGAAAAAAACATTTATAATCCAAAATACACATTCGTTTTCACAAATAACTTTTTAAATCAAAAGACATTTATAACCCAAAACACTCACACATAAATTCAGTCCCAAATGCATTTGTCAAATCATATGTATTACTATTAGCTGAGTAACTAGCCCGGTCTGTAGTCATCACTAGCTTGATGACTGGTTATGTCTCTCGTTACCACTAGCCTAGTAACTGACCCCGTCTCTTGTCATCACTAGCCTGATGATTGGTCCCTATGTGTACATCCATATACCGATCACACCGGTATACAATCTCGTTACCATTTAGACCAGGTAACCTATTTCCCGTCTTACAAACATGATTTTCACACGCACACCAAAACTGTAATTTTAGTCCCAACGCACACAAAATTTTTCTTTCATCACCAAAGCAATAATATAAAATCATCCCACAAGTTTTTCAAAATTCACCTATATAACAGTTTGCAATTGCAAATAATTTAATTGTAACTCCAAATATTAACATATATATCATATATATGAAAAATCTATACGCACGCATCCACACATTTAATATAGAAAATCCTACCAAAATAAGTAGTAAAGTACTTACCTTGATTCCAAAAATCTTTCTCAACATTAATGCAATCACTATCTAATCCAAAATAACATAACAATTAATCCCTATTCCTAACTTTGTCAATTCGCAATTCTATATTTAATTTATGTACTTCCTACCTATTGATATATACTTGATATATCCTATACATATAAATATCCTTTTTAATATAGGGTAATAGGGTATAGAAAGTATTCTGTGCTATTTAGAAAAAGGTTTTCAAAGTTTTGGGGTCAAATCATAATTTTTAAAACTTTTGGGGTCAATGTGTAATTTCTTTGAAAAATACATTTTTTTTTTACTTTCAGGACTGCCATAAATTTTCTAAAATTCTATTCATCCAACTTACCATTGTAAAACAGTGGTTAAAATAAAGTTTAAAAGAATATAGAGATCGAAGTAAAGCTCTTTGAAACTAAATGGGAGGTTTTCATAATTTTTAAAATCCCATCTCCTTTGACCTACAAAAGTTGGTTTTGCTGCTTTCTTGGTTCAGCAACTTTCTTTGTTTTTCTTCTCCCTAATTCCTTCTTCTTCTTCTTTTTGTTCTTCTTTCTTCCTTCCTTCTATGTGTGTGTGTGTGTGTTGCCGCCTATTCTATTCCCTCCGGCCCAAACAATATTAATAAAATATGAAGAGTTGTTCAGTTACATATAAGATGTAGCAATCAACTATTCTTAATAACACTAAAATCCCGTTAGTAATAAAGAATTAGTGTACAACCAATTTTACAATTCTAAAACTCTATTCGACTAAGCATCTATAATTATCTAATATTTCTCCCTAGACCGCAAAAAGTCTAAATTATCTCCATTGATTTTCAAATCATATCCATAAGCCCATAGGGACAGACCCCCAAGCCAAACAAAAGTCTAAAACGTCTCAAATCTAACTTATTTATTATTATTATTATTATTACTATTTAATTATTTTACCTTCGGTATTACAGCCCGAGTAGGTCAGGCTGCCCGCCGCGATCCTCAAAAACTCTTGTTCACAACTGCCTAAACCACAATGATACCAGTGGCAGCTAACCGCGAGCCACGTGTCCCAACATTAACTAGGTTGATGTGATATTTTCCCAAATGTAGCCTGAACGCAGCTCCAAGGAGGGTGTGACAGCCGAGGTGAAAGGAGGCTCCCAAGATCAATGACCATGACTGGTCACCGCGGGACCATGACCTTGAGTGGGACACGTCCGTGATGCCCCCAACACGCTCCTACCCAGGGTCTTTCTTTCCATTTCTAGACCCTTTCTCAAGACATTACTTGAAGTGCTCGATAGAGGAAACCAACATAGTTTTGATTTTTCAACCACCAATCCACATGTCTCATTATCTCATATGTTGATTTAGATCAATAACTCTAGTTACCTTATGAGTCTCTCCAGATCCCATTCAAGCACATCTCAATNAGCTACTCCCTCCGTTCTTAAATATCTGTTGTTTAAGGTTTTTGTACAGGGATTAAAGAAGCTATTAAATAGCTGTAATATGAATAAAAAATAATTATACAAGACTAAAATACTCTTATTCAATACGTATTGAGAATGTAAGGAATATGAAAGACACTTAACTTCCACCTAATCTAATGCATTGAAAAGTTAATGGTAAATTTGAAAGTAAAAATATTAATTATGTTTTAGTTTTGTTAAACGACAGTTATTGTGGAACAAAAAAAATTATGTAAAACGACAGTTATTGTGGAACAAAAAAAATTATGTAAAACGACAGATATTTAGGAACAGAGAGAATAGAAAAGAGGCTTCCAAAAATATCGATAAGTCTATTCGGAAGCCTGGCTCAAATCCAACCAAAACACAAGTTGTGAAGTTCGTATTCCAAGATATAGAAGTCTGGAGCCAAAAAGTCGACGAAGAGACAGGAAATAGTGAACCTACGATGTCCAGTTCGCAATCCAAAGATGTGCAAGATAGTGCATAAGACCAATTATTGGACATGGAGATGGACACATAGTTACCACCAAACTCAGAACTCTCAGAGATGGAGGATCACAATGGACAATCCAAACGTTTCTTTCCAACTAATGCTAAGCCCAACAACACCAATGGTGGTAACACATCTGTGGGTTATCCAAATTCTTCATCTGATGATTCCCATGTATTCTAGATTACAAATCCATAAGCACTATGATATAGGATCCCCATCTCAAGTGGGGTGGCAAGACCAAGAGATAAGGTGAGCATGGGAGGAGTTGATGGAAAGGAACTGGAACTTTATCATAGAAGTAAGGGAAGTGACTTCATTGGGGAAACCCTCACCAAAGCAGATGCCGGTCCATATTCGGTGTGGGCGTTAGAGCATTGAGAGGACCTTTCCATAGTATGAGAAGACTTAACCAAAGGATAGAGTAAGTAGTGGTGGAGGTCATGGAGAGACACCTAAATGCCTCAGCGACAAAGATAATGCTATGCAGGAAGAACAAAATGTCTAGAAATAGAGAAGCTTGGGCTAATCCACGAGAAGTTAAGGTTAGCGTCATCCAGCGCATGAACTAAGAGGTACATTGCCTTCGTTGAGGTGACATCTTTTCCCTTTTGGTTTCTATCTTTCATTTGAGCTAGTACCATTCTGGATTGTAGAAATTTACTATGGAATAATCTTAAAATTGTTGTTGAGTCACATGCATTCCCCTGGATGATAATGGGAGACTTCAATGAAGTCATCCAGCCAAGGGACAAGTTGGGGAATTATACATTCATAGAGGCAGGGCTTAAAATTACCTAGAATGTATCGAAGACTACAAAATAAGTGACATGGGGTTCCTTGGACCAAAGTTTACATCGACCAATGCTAGGAAATCTGGGGGACTAATCATGCAGCATATTGATAGGGCCTGATGCAACCAGGAATGACTTCACATTTACCCTAACGCAACTGTTAACCACCTCCCCAAAACTGATTCTAACCATTGCCTAATCCTCTTAAAAGCATTTCCCTAGGATATAATCCAAGAGAGACCTTTCCGCTTTGAGACTATTTGCCAAGGGCACAAGCGTTTTAATGAATTGGTACATGTCCTTCATTGGCAAAAAACCTTAAAGAATGGAATAAAACTAAGTTTGGCAATATATTCAGAAAGAAAAAAAAGGTGCTAGCCAAGCTGGCCGGAATACAAAAAGCCACTTACGAGAGTCCGAACCCCCATTTCCCCCAACTTGAAGACAAATTGAAATTAGAATACCAGAATATAACTCACTAGGAAGAGGAATTCTTGGCTTTGAAATATTAGGTAGAGTGGCTCANTTTTTTTTTTGAGTTTTTTTGCTATGTTCAATTCCAAAAAAGGAAATAATGGAAGTTATTAACAAATTTGAAACAAAAAAGGAATAAAAAGCTCTCTCAACCCGAAAATTCCCACCCTTAACACCAATTTTCTTTCTTTTTTCTTTACACCAACTTGAAATAGTACTTCAACCACCAAAACCTAGCAACTACCCACCCCGACCACCCCCCTCACTGCGCATTCTTTTCTCTCTCAACCCAAACCACCACCTCCCCTTCACACACCATTTCTATCAACCCAAACCACCCTACATATGGAGCGAAACTCTTATCAAACGACACCCACCCGCGAACTCCCTCCCCGCTTTTCTCTTGACTCTAACCAATCATCCGCAATGACTCTCAACCATCTGAACGCTACAAAGTCCCCCTCTGGATCAACTCAAACCCACCCTGAAACAGATTACCATCCACCTCACACCGACCACCTCCCACTACCCAAACCTACCTCCAGCTCCACATAACCAACAACAAAAATAACTACAACTCATTCACATTCCATATCTCACATGTAGCTGAAAAATAACACGTGGAGTACTGGTGGTCAAATTGGGAGTGCAAATTACAATCCATATAGTATTACATATGCAAACGCATGCGTTTGTGCACACACAGAGTTGATCTAAATGAAAGACAACAAACTATGAGGTGGGGCTCTCTTAAATTTAAAAAACTACAATTGACGGAGTTTAAGTTTATTTCAAGGGTAATTTCTGTGATTTGTGATTTTTTTTTTTCACCTTTGTTAAGTTAGTGGCCTTCATGCAGTGCAACACATATTAGAACAATAATTTCAAGGTGGTTGATTAACACTCCTACTTTCACAATACAATTTACACCGGCATTCCCAAAATATAAACATACTCAAGCAATCATAAACCATTATTTTTTCTAAAGTAATTGCAACATTCCTTTTTCAATTAGTTTTCATGCTTCATATCATAACATCTTACTTGAGAAATGTTGAATGTACCATCATTACATAATAAATGGTGACATGAATACACAACATTAGTAGGTAATTGGGACAGACTCAAGTACATGTCGAATTCAACAATGTCAGGAATACCAATAATTCATCAAATATCAGCAGCAATCAAGTAGATAAGCTCATTTTTCTTTTTCATGAAAAGAATTACTCCACTATTTTGGATGATGAAATATACATTCCACAATAAAGTGTAACAAGGTAAATCGAAAGCCATAATTGTCTGAATGTCCTCTAACTATCAAGACTCTAAGATAAAGAATAATGTAACCTCCAGCCATTTTGAACTCCGTTATGTATATTTAGAAAACATAAGGAATCAGAGCCCTGACATCCTTAGGGAAATCATCAAATTTGGAAAGGTACCATTTTCTGGTGACATAACTCCTTCCAATCAAGTACAAAGCTATGCCTATCGAGCAGGAAAAGGAAAACGTCGTCTGGCAGATAAAAGAAATGCCTATGAAGGTAAGAATTTCGAAAAGATAGTGTGGGCATATAACCAAGTTGAAGAGCCCACCACGGGGAATTTTATATCCTTTTTCATCCTTCCCCCTAAGTTTGGAAAGAAGGTAATGGTGATAAAAGTTACCACCTATTCCTGCTATAAAAAGTGCGACCCCCAGATACTTCAGATCAATCACCGGCTCTGCAAGCCCTTGAGCTAAGTGTTGGATATAGATCATGGCTGCAGAAGCAAACAAATAGCTGGAAGAGATAAGAATAGCAGAGTCCAGAACCATGCCACCACTGTATTTATGGACAAACAGAACCTGCAAAACATGATTAAGTACAATTCCATCTAAATCTGTCAATAAATTACGCTAATCATAGTTTTATGGGAACACTACAATAGTCAGCAGCACTAAAACATTTTAAGAATTTTGCAGGGTTGTCTGTCAAATATAGCAATCATTGGAGACATTCAGTTCCCCCTTGTAAGTTGAGAGAATCAGAGAAGAAATTCTTTGTTGTTGCCATGAAGTTAACAAACCTACATTATCAGCCAACTTCCAAAATGGACAAACCAATCTTTCCATGATATCATACCAAATTGAAGACATAAAATTATTGGGCTGTTTTTATTTCATAGTGATGATCCCAATGGTGACATATTTGGAGCAACAGGTAGTGGTACTCTCTCTCTCTCTCTCTCTCTCCCTCTCAAAATAGAAAGAAAATTATCATGGTCATGTCCAATAAATTATGCAGAGAATGAGCTAAACTCCACGCCCAAACAACAATATTCAATATTCAAACTTCTATTTGTTTACAACCACCATTATTAACTGGATTGCAAAAAGGTGAAATTGGATGGAGAGTCCTTGCACCATTTTAGCCGGACGCAATGAGGAAAAGCTAGTGTCATACAATAAAAGCCAGTCACTACAAATGAACAAGCTGACCTTCTGATAAATGTCAATGGCATGCTAGAGAGCTTTAGTGCTAATCTTCTATATTGTGTCACATTGTAAACATTTTGTTTATTTTAGAAATCAAAACACAAACTAGTAGTTTTCATCTTGTCCAGCACAAGATGGGCAACCATGATGCATTAATGTAGCTATAAAAGGCAATCCATCTTTGTCAACAAAAAAATGTGCAAGAGTAGATGGAAATAATCCCCTGGGCTATGGCTCGGTGGTGAAGATATATAATTTTGGGTTGGTCTTAATTTTGAGGGTTTGCTACCAGAAGAGAAGAAACTAGAGAATCTGTAACCACAACTAACTACAACATTATTTGTACTGAAAAGCAACAACAGAGAAACAACAAAAATAGTACATAATTGAGATAGTAAGAGGTACGTTGTCTAGATCTGGACACTTCTGAAGAAAAAAAATGATAAATATCTCATAACCCCTTCAACCAATGGAAGAGGAAAAAAACAAGAGGCTTCCATCAGTTAAAAAGATTGGGTCAAGCCCAGTATTAAGGAGGGAATGATAAAGATACGATATCTTTTACCCAGCAGGTTGAGTGTCTTGATCAAGGCTGTAGCTTATATGGCTCCTCTAAAGAAGTCCCTTTTGTTGATGTTTGAGATACCCGAGGCCAGTAGCTGAGCACCACTACGGAAAGATCCCAGTGGGAAAATCAAAAGGAGTGAGAACAGACGAATTAGAAAATTTAGGACCACTTAAGTGAATGTAAGCACATTGGATTTTGTGCTTCAGCGATCAAATTCTTAAAAACCTATTTGCTAAGCAGTGTTGGAGGGTTCAAGTGGACTCTCCTCTTTTGTTCAAGAGAATTTTATACATTAGACACTTCTCAAGTTGTTGTACTCATACACTAGAGGGCTGAAACTCTTCGTGGCATTGAAATAAAATTATTGGAAAGGGACATCATAAACCACAATTAGGAGGGAAGGAAAATCACTAAAAAGGCAAGCTCTGGAGGACTGAAAGGGAAAGGTGGCAAATATAGAGAAGGAGATGTATCTATTGATTAACATGGTTGCATATCTTTATGAAGGTTTGAGCAATTGAAAAGAAAGGTTAATAGAGGAGGTTTTTGTAAGTCTAGAACAAAAAGGAGCTGTTTTGGATTTGAAAGTTTCTGGGGATTCCTTCAAACAACACCTTCCTCATCAGAGTTGGCACAACGTTATGTTCCAGATGAGAGTTCTATCAGATCCTGTAATGAATGACAAAAGATTCCTTTCGATATGAAAAAAGCAAAAATAGCGAAGCTGAACAGGGTAATTTAAGGGAAATGAAGAAAACATGGAACAGAAAATGAAACCCCAAGAATGAGCAGAAAATAAAGCCTTTCCTTGAAGTGTGCTAGCAACAACATTTTACCATTAGTAATGATTTCAACTAGAAAAGTGCAGCTATTAATCAACACCCTGTCTCTTGGAATAAGAGCCCGTACACCACAAAACTTTTCAGATACCTCTTTTCCAATCAAGATAGTGTTCAGTTTCCTATCATGCTACAACAAATCCTATAAGTGCTTGTAAATCAGCAGATTCATGGCTAGCAATACATGGGAACCAAAGGGAGAGTCAATGCGATAGAATCATAGTTGTTGCAATTGGATTAACATGTTAGCCGTTGTTGAGGGCTCAGAATGATAACTTTGTAATTGAAAAGAACAGAATCCTGGGAAAGTTGGTAAAATTGCTGAGACCCATGCTACAAAGTTATGAATCTTTTTCAGGTGTGGATACTGGAAAAAACGTCAATACAAGGGAGAGTATAAACAAGTAATAAGAAGCTGGGTTCAGTGGGAAACTGAAAAAAATGGTGAGTTTCACTGCATCAATTGAGAGAAAAGTAAAGTTGGCTTTGTAATCGGGTAACATAACGCCAAGTAGCTGGAACCTATGGGTAAAAAAGTTCTTTGGATTTACATTTCCACGACCATTATTTTTATAATAGCATATAGAAAACTGGGGCTTTCCACAGGACTGGGGTTTGATTAACTTTTAGCACATTAATCCAATGAGCAAGACCCTTGAATTACTAGACCATAATAATTATACGCATAAAAATTAGTTCAACTACTTTTCATGATTTTAGCCAATTCCCACAATATCTGTTTCCATTTCCAAATAAACCATTTCTGTAAAAGTAACTACATTAAGAACACAACCGAAAGTAAATATAGCACACACTTATGTATGTATGTATGTGAGGGTGTGCATGTATTCATAGATTCGTATCAAGTTGAGCAGATTGAATTGCCAATTAAAAAACCATGAATTGTAAAGTACTAGCCAAATTAAGAAAAGAAATATAGAGATGTGTTTACCTCAAGAACCCGTTTGAAGAAATGGATAGTTATAGCTGATTTGGCCATCATGAACCTAATTCCACCATCTGGGAAGACCCAAAAGGAAGCGAGTGAGGCGAGGAACGCCGGAGTGTAGAGTATGAGCATGCCTGTTGTGCTTGAGAGTTTGATCTGTTGCTTAGCTGAAGAATTCACGTTCCAGAATTTGGAGTACTGGAGGTGTTTCCCTATGATTTCTGATATAGCTAAGTATGCTAAGAACAGAAAAGTTATCACAGATATGGCTGTGAGGAAGATTGAATTAGAGGTATACTCTTGTTGAAGAAAGCTCTGTAACAAAGATATCGCCATCATTCCTATTCCACTCCCCCCACCCCTCTCTCTCTCTCTCTCTTTCTCTCTCTCTCGCACCCGCGTGTGAATGTGTGTACAATACGCCGATTTGATGATCGACTGCGGCGCAGCCCTTTGTTATCGGTTGCGTTTGGTCAAAGTTTCTTGGGTAAATTATATTTAATTCCCCCAAAGTTTACATTTGATTTTTATATTTAATGCCGAGTTGATGATCGGCTGCGGCACAGCGATCCGTTGTCCGTTGCGTTGATCAAAGTTTCTTTATTGCGTGGAATATGAGTAGAGAATCAATCTAATAAAATAATTAGATTTTTGAACTCCCGAATCTCACAAAATCCAAAACACACTCTTCCACACCGAGCTGTACACAAATACATATTCCAACGCAAACACATTATTCTCTTAAAATTTTGTTAATATTTCTAACACTATCAACATAAGTCTCAAACAAATATTCCATTTTGAAGTCAAAGATCATAAGAGTATGATGTTACATATTATTCTTGAAGTTTTTTTAAATTCAACTTTATTCTTTAATATGTAACTTATTGAAAAAAAAATTCATAGAAGCCGTGAAGACTTCGAATTAGGTTTATAATTTAAAGAAGTTCTGATGACTTCACATTAACATGTACAATTCATTAAAGTCCTAAACTTTGTCATAAATTTCTATGAACTTTCATTTTACGCATTGATTTTATTATTATTATTATTATTAAGCTAATATGTAAATTAAGATGATTGTTGCTATAAGTCATATATTTGTATTAGTGATAACTCGTGCTTGAATGCACTGTACAATTCAAAAAAAAATCAAACACTGATCATAAACATGAAATAATCAAGCATTGAACTTAGGCGCTCACTAAGTTCAAACTCAAACTACATCCTCTAACACACCCACACTACATACATGATCAACAAAGTATTACTTATATGACAATCCTAGAAAATTTTATGGCTTCTGAAGGCACCAATCTAGCAATAACCCATTGCTTAAGGAACGATGAAATACAAAAAATAAAAATCGAGCACTAGTTGTGTAATATAAATATTTTAAACAACAATCTATTTTTTCTTTCTTTTCTATAATGACATAACTTGGAATCATTCCGAGCCTTAGAGACATTTCAATTTTGTTAACATAGTGTATACATATCAGAATCATACCCTAAAATGTTAAGACTCTCCATTACATCACAATCATGCCTAGACACAACTACTTGCCAACACAACTAAATTGAGAACGTTCAACTTTATTGATCAACAAATGATATTGAAGTAAATTATCACAAGTAATTTAGATTTTAAGACTTCATTAGATTAGCACTTTATAATAATTTGCTTAGATCAAACTTTTCAATATGAAGTGCTTAGCAATAAAAATAGTTAAACAAATGCAATCACCAAATACTTCTCTATTGCTACCACCAATTCGAATCATCGTGCAAACATTGCTGTAAAACTCATGAACAAATATTGGGATTGCTCCAGTTGTACACTTTAGAGGAACATACCTCCCCCTCCCAAAAAAAAAAAAAAAAAAAAGTAAACCCCAAGATGATCAGCTACGGAGTGCTTATCAATGTTCTCATGATGATAGATTTGCACACAAAGTAGAACACTGTCTGGATGATGCGGCCAAAGAGAATGAGCACAGACAACAACAACCTGCCTACAAAGAACAACATAAGCTCCTAGAAGCTTTGTCTCCATAGCCAAATAAAAATAAGAATTGAAATGCAACTTGAATTCCTATAAAACAAGCAAAAGGAACATGGCAATAGAAACACCCAATACCCATCTTCTAGTATTGTAATCATACTCGCCAAATGCTAGATAATGCTTATACACAAAACCAAGTGCAGCAAAACCACCAAGTGTTGATGCAAAGCTCACCATTTAATGCAACAAAGCACATCTAAACAAAACTAAATTTTATCGAATTTCAAATCTACCAAAAGAAAAGAGATAAAAATTTGAGTAGAAAAGCACTAAGCTAGTGGATCAAAACAAAATCAATAAGATATAAACAAAGAATAATCAAAATAAGGTACAACTCCTGGGGAAAAAAAACGAATGAAGTCCAAAGCACCATATGCTTGATTCAACAAATTAAACTCTGAAAATTTTACTTTCTCTATCCATATACACCACATGAGATAAAAAATAGTAGCAACAAAAATATGACCACTCCTTCCTAGGATATGGCAGTATTTCCTACCACACGTCACAACCTCAATTTTAAGGTGTAGAAGTAATATTCCAAGCAATCAAAGCTTTTTTTTAGGTATATGCACTTTCAAGTATAAACATAGGTGTATGATATAACAAAAAAACCAAGCGGAAGGACATGTATGGGAAACTTATAATGCGAAAAGCTTGTGTACCATGGATTAAAAACCAAGCGAAAGGAAATATCACCCATGAATGTGACTTCTCAACTCATCAATTGAAATCCAATTCCTCCCATAGACAAAAGTATGAACTTCATTTGGTTTTAAGACTCACTGTGAATGGCCAAGGCAATTCAAAGTTAGCATACCGGTTCTAAGTTTCTTCAAAGTTTTGAAGCATAAAAAAAACAAATTAATAGCAAGTGAAAGGTAGATATTTGAATTAATTAGTAACAGTGGAAAATAATCTATTTGGGAGAGCGAGAAAGGTCATACGATCATAATTCAAAAAATTCATTGCAAAGAATCAAAGGAATCCAGTCTTGGGTTCTTTTGTAAACTACAATGTGTTAAATTTGGTATGAAGAATCGATAAGACATAATTACCCACATTCCAGTGAACCAAAATCCTCAAAGCTCATAATAAACCTAGGAAATCTTTACAACTTAGATCTTAAAATTATGAAATTAGCACAATCCATTTGAGTACAGCCACAAACATATTAGACTCTCACAATGAAGAACTCACCTACACTTGACATCCTTCCAATTGGGGTGGAGCATGAGGATGGTATATTTTATGGGAGACTTCTACTATTCATTAATTCATTCATTGTGTCTTTCATTGTAGTCATCGGCTCCTGCCACTAATTCAACTAACCAAAAAAAAAAAACCTCCACACTAAATACAAAATGCAAATCAACGGACTACACCAAATCAAACCTAAAATGCTAATTCGTCTGAAAATAAGGGATATGCCCAAACTAAGCTAAAAAAAAAAATAGATTCGGAACTTACTATCTAGTCATGCATCAAAACTATTGTAATTCCCAAGGATGAAAAAAAAAAAAGCATACCCATCTCACATAAACACAATTCTCTAGAAGCATAAACAAAGAGCCACTTGGACAAATACAATTGATAATGAAAAACAATTAAAGTTACATAATTATAATAGAAAGATAAACCTACTGATTTTACATGGTTGCTTATGTCCCACTTTCTTGAACTCTTAGTAAGACTTTTTACAAATGAATCATATTCTGGACATGGAATTTTGTATGAAAAATGGACTAAGCCACTAAGACTATAAGGCAATTGCAATTAAGAAGGACCCAATTGATAGGCAAAAAAAGGAAGCAAGAAAATTTAAAACCCAAAATGGGCCCCATGGACTTCTTCTTTTGCCCTGACAATTCATCGGTTACCTAGAACTCAGAGGTGTTGGTTTCTAGTTTTAGCTTGAGTTAGGGGCTATTTTTGTTCTCTTTGACATTTTGCGGAGGTTGCATTTTGTGTATTTGTCTGGATATGAGTGTTCTCTAAAGTTAGGTGCTGTTGAGTTGAGTTGTATGTGAGTTTCTATTGTGCAAAAATAAGAAAGCAAGAAAAATTAAAGCCCTTAAAAGGGAAAATAGACTTTTTTTTCTTCACTCTGACATTCATCGACCATCACCTAGAACGCAAGGTGTAGTTTTCTTCTCTTTGACATTTTGTTAATCAAGTAGTATGCATAAAAGGAAAAAGGTGGAGGCGTTAATACCAAGGACTTGAAAATTTGATAGCTAATGACGACAAAATCAAGAAAGTAGTTACTTCATCACTATGTTGCACCAAAAGCACGAACTTGAAACTACATCATCATCTCTTCAAAAATTTCAACCATAAAAAGAGCTGAGGAATCAATCTTGCTCACCATTTGCACACATTAATATAATAGAAACCTTTGTCCATTTGATTGCTAAGAAAATTAAAAAATACCAAAAAGAAAGCCAAAATAATGAGAGCTAAATAGAAGAGACAACATACCTTTATGGGCATAAAATAGAGACCGTCATGAGGAGATTAATCAACACCTTTTTTCAATATAATCCGTTCTTCACCACCACACCATAATAATGAAAGCAACATAAAAATATTTCATGATGTAAACCCAACTTGGATAGTCCTAGTCCAAAAAATACAAAAGCAACACCCATAGAATGCACATCTGATTCAAGCATGAAACAATATGAACCTTCCTTTAAAGATGGAACTCCAATCTCGAAGTTTGGGTTTGAAAAACATTGAATTAGGTTGTATGCTACAAAAATTAGGAAAAAGAACAACTCAACATTAAATTATGCACAAAATAGCAGAGACTCTTCCCACCACTTGGAATTCTAGAAAGGAAAAAAATTTTCATCATAACCAACCAACCTGTGCAGTACAATTTATACAATTATTAGCGGAAGTAGAGATCAATATCTATCCATTGTGGATACAATTTGAGCAGGAAAAAATGAATCCAAAATCGAACATCAGATACCACATCAAAAATAAAGAAGCATTAAATGACAAACTCGAGGAAGAGATTTTATGAAGTGATACTTTTCAAGTAAATATGTTTTTTTAATTTTTTAATTATTTTAATGTGGATGAAGTAAAAAAAATATTTATATATTTTTAGATAATGAGAAAAACATCTAAATGTAACTTTTTTTTTTCAAGTTGTAGATATTCTTTTCAAAGTCGGTGGAATTTGTAATAGTAAAATTTGGTTTTTAGACAACGTCTAAGCACTTATTTTGTCTAAGGGAGTATGGTTGCAATTTTCATTCCATTAGTGATGAATTCTATTATTATGTGTTAGTAGAAGCGTTAGTGAACATTTTTTTTTTAAAAATTTAAGATAAAATTTATTATGAATGTTGAAATTGTAGATGTTGAATCAACAAAGAGTACATTGAACAAAGCCAAGTAACATATTTTCTCAGATGTTTGAATTATTATACTGCAGTAGTCGTAGCGAGACTTTTTTTTACATAAATATTTGATTTTGTACACAGGTTGATATTATACAATTGTCCAGTTTTTAGAAGATATTTTATCAAAATTTTTAAAAATATTAGTGGGCTCAATTTGATTGCCGTTTGTTGAAATTTTGTGTTATACATTGCCATTATACTTTGACAAATGTTTGCAATTTTTTTATAAGTAACATAGTGTCGTCAAATATGAACAATTACTAGTAATGTTATAAGGTTCACTGTAGGAAAAGAATAAATATTCATAAGCATCCCCTAATGTTAATTAGAAAGCTACATGCTATGTTATTTGTTTGAATGTTAAGGCATTAGTATCATGCAGTTTCAATTCAACTCTTGACTTGCCCTATGATCTTGAAAAGACCTCAAAATTGTTATTTATATCTGACATCATGTTTGCATTTAATGGAACTCTCATTAAATTTGATTACACACCCAATAAATCCTATTGACATATTTAAAGGTGACGAAATAAAACTAAACCAAAGGAAAAAGATAAAAAAAAAATGCTTTCATAGATCGATATTTCCCAAATGTACACTGTATCATGAAAAAAATTGTGAAAGATGGTATAAGAAAGGCAATACAAGGAAATCAACCAATTGACCAAGAGGATTTTGTGTAGTTGGTGGCACTGTGCTTTTGCACCACGCTACTATTTTGCAACGTAGGAACTTCAATTGCTTGGTTCTTTATTGACTACATAGAGGACTTGGGAAAAATGTCAACTTATGCATGGGCAGTAGCTGTTTATAATATGCTAGTGGACTCCATGATTGAGGACTTCAACAAGGTAGGAATAGTCATTGGATGTGAGATCACTATTTTGGTAAGACCAACAACTATAATCATATTCTTCATTTTGAAAAATATTTTACTCTGAATCTATTAAACTGATTTTTTATTCAGATATAGTTGTGTGAGACAACAACCATTGTGGCCCCCATCAAAGGAAGGAAAATATCAATCCTAGATTCCTCAGATGGAATCTACCACTATGCAACAAACAACTAGTGATGATAGAAAGAAGGAAAATCAAAATTCGGAGTGATCAACAATAGAATGTGCAAGACTACCAATGTCCAACTGTCCCACACTACAAATCCCCCCTAGCAAGGAAAAAAAATATTAAAAAACTTTACAAAGATACACATGATGATGAGAAAACAAAGAGAATGACAAGAAGAGATAATGAAGATAATAACTCTCGGCTATCGATTGCCATGGATATTATGTTCTTGACATACGCTGAGGTATACTAAAAAAAAACCTTACTACACATATGATACATGTGAAACTCGGAAAAATTTGAACTTTTTCTTAGAAAGGGCAATGGTAATTTGTCATCCTAATACGTATTTAAAATACTTATGTTCTAAACCTCCGATGAGGAAATGGAGTTCACTATTGGATTCGTATCACAAAATCTAGTAACCCTGTTAAATTTTGTCAAATTCTGAGATAGTCAAATTTTTGCACATCGTTCGAAGCGATTGCGAGGCGAATGACATTTTAAAGGTCCCCAAAAATAATTTTTTTAAAATTTTCTTAAAATTAAGTTAAAGTTCTAATAAATTAATTTGAACTAAATCCGAGATATAACGAATCGTTTCGGGACGAAAAATATACCCGAAAGTCAGAAATATGAGGTGCGATGTGGACCGCACATTTGGGACTATAAATATCTACTTAAATTAGATATTTTGGGAAACATATCTCCTTATTCTTGACCCTTGGCCGGCCATAGAGAGAAGAGAGTGAAAAGAGAGAAAAAAAGTAAGTTCTTCAAGTTTCAATCTAAGATTCCCGGAGTTCTGTCTGTCGGAATTCATTGAGCCAAGAATCAAAATTCATCTCCTCAACGAGGGCTACATGTACGTACCGAGAAAAATGGATTTCACCAAGGGTCCAAGGAAAAGACTTTGGAGGAATCAAAAGTTCTTGGACTTGTTTTGGTGTTTTTAGAAGTTCTACCAATTCCTACACGCTACAAGAGGTAGGGTTTTTCCTACTTTGGTTTAACTCCTACCTGAAGGGGTCATTTTTGTGGCTGAAACATGACTGATTTGTGGATGATTGGTGGGTTGTCTAGTGTCCGTTTATGGACTATTTAAGGGGCTGCTTAGTGGCGAAATTGTGGGTTGCTTAGTGGCTGGTTTATGGGCTGTTTTATGGTTGTTTTAAGGGGCTGTTTATGGCTATTTTATGGGCTATCTTATGGCTGTTTATTGGGGTTGTTTTATGGCCGTTTAGGGGCTAAATTGTGGGCTGTTTAGTGGTTAATTTGTGGACTGTTAGTGGCTAAATTTTGGGCCACTATGGGCTGATTTTTATGTGGGCTGTTATGTGCTATATTTTACCTTTTAAATTAAGTGTGTTTTTGACATAGATTATGTAATAACATACTTGTCAATTGTGTTGAATATAAATGTTGACACACACTAGTTGATGTTTTGACATTGTGATGAAATTTTGGAGATTATTTGCATATGAAATAAATCGCCATGGTAGACATTGATATGTAGAAATTGTTCCTTTGACATGCATTGCAATATGGACATGGAATTGACATCACATTCATGGACATGAGTCATGAGTGTGGATGTGTATATGCATGGTTAATCAAACACTATTCTTGGTGATTGATGGGTGGACTCGGGAGAGTTGGGTTGAAAATCTAAATGAGTCGTATGGTTGCATGAAAGCAAAACTTGTGCCGGGTATAGCAAGAAGGGGTAGATTCCCCCCTCGGGTGCAAGATCCGACGACTTGGTTATACACTCTCCTGTGGTGAAATTCCGAAAAAGTGTAGTATGGTGTACGAAAATCGGCGGTATAAAATCCAAAATCCATTGCCCAACAAGACACAAGATTTTGATTTATAAGTACTCATACAATGAGTAACACCCCTCAATGATTTGATTTTATAATAAAACAACTTTTATTTCAAACGATCATTTGGTGGATTTTATCATCAATTGACGGATTTAGTATACCTTGGCATTGCATTGTGTCATGGGAGTCGGTGATGACTTGGGTTTAAGTGCATGAGTGAGTATCATCTCATTTCATGGCATAACATGGTTGCATTCCACATTTAATGCATATTTTTGTATGGAATGATTGTTAAATGTTGTTTGTTGCTTATACACACCACATATGCATCTAAGGTGGGGAGTAGCCTCTGTAGGGATTATTCTACTGGGCATTTGCTCATCCTATACGGGAAAATATTTAAGGTGAGAGAGATACACCAGTGGATGGCTCCAATTTGGACCCTTATGTTTGAAGAAAGTCAAATGTAGCTTTATTTTGTGTTAATATAAAACATTTATAGAAATAATATTTTGGGTATGTAATCTTTTATAAATAATTGTAATAGAACTTATATAGACTATTGTTAAACTAACTTTGCATGTTTTGATATAAATATGGATAATTGGACCCGGTGTGGCCAATGTTTACTTATAATTGGACCTGGTGTAGCCAATGTTTACTTATAATTGGATCCGGTGTGGTCATTGTTGAATATTGGACCTCAGATGAGTCTTATTATTATATAATTGCACAGGTTGAGTTTTGGGTAAAGCTTCCCGTACAAAGGAGACTCTGCTTGAATTTCGTCAAAATTATGGTTCCCGGTAAATGGGGCACAATAGCGTGATATCGAATTACTCGATATCCATGGGTATTCCGCAGGTTGATGGGTAATCAATGGACCCCGAATTTTGGGGTGTCACAATACATAATGACACAAATCCATTAATACAATATTTTGTACGACAGTTGACATGCGAGGAAGCTACACACCAACCAACAAAAAGCTATCATGACCCGTAATCCCCTAAACAGGAAAAAACTCTGGTTTGGTATAACAGAAGGAATAGATACATGCAAATAATTTCCTCCCCAGAAAATGAAGATACAGTTTCTACTCAGTTAACTGATGAATACCTTATAGCCAAAAATAATGGTTCACCTTATCTCGAACAAAGGTACATACCAATGTACCTACTATTATATAAACTTTAATGTACTTATTAGTTGAGAAAAATTGATTGTTTCACACTACATAAATCTTTATTCATTTTAAAAAATCCTACTTGATGCAGCTATTGGATGATGAACATGTACCGCTATGTATAACTCCAATTGTGAACTTTGGACCCAACAACTTGGACTATGGAAAAACCTCGCAAGAGATCATTCTTCACCCATTTGCTAATGAAGCAACCCCACAACAACAGATCAAAGAAGACACCCCATCAAATGAGGGGGATTACATGTCCATAACAACACTAATCATTGATATGTAAATAGAGGACGAAGACCTATGAGAGAGGTTGAAAGAATACTAGCAAATGATTGAGAACCACGGTGAAGAAGTTGAGAAAGCAAGAAAAAAAGCTTATGATTTGATAGAGGAAATGAAGAAAGAGAGAATTGCAATAGAAAATAAGAAAGATTCAAATATCTAAATGTGTGCAGAAATTCAGCTACTCATTGAAAAAGGGAATGAGTTGGTACAGGAGCTGCAAGCAAAAAAAAAAAAAAAAATGAGCAACTCCAACATCAAAACAAAGATCTAAATGAAGAGTTGAATAAAGTGCATGAAGAAAATGTGCTGCTAGAGGTACAGAACATTACACAACCCATAGGACAAAACAAGGAAGAACATCTCTTGACAGAGAAAAATGAAACACTTGTGAAACTGAATGAGGACTCAAGAAATTTAATTCAAGTTTTAGCCAAACAAGCAACTCATCTACAAGAACAGATACATAGGCAAAACCAAATGCTGCAATATTTCTAAAAAGGAGAATGAAAAATTGACAGTGTAGAATGAAGATTTGCAAAACACAATAGATGAGTTGTTGAAGCAAATGATCCTATCACCATAATCAAAAAAGAAATCGCACGTGAAACGATTAAAGTCAAAACAACGTACAAAAAAGGTGCGATGTAGATGATCTTCAGAATAAGGGAGAGAAAAAAACGATAAAGATGAGAGCAAAAAGCAGCAACAACATCTAGCAACTAAGCTGAAAGAAGTAGACAAAGGAGAAAAAATTGTTGATGCCAATATCCATGTGCCCAGGCAGAAGAAGCAAGTGAAGAGGAAAACGTTCCACCCTAATACATTGAAGCTGGGCAAGCTTCTACCCAAGTGTGACAAATTGACAATAAAGCAATACATTGAACAAGCAACTGACGAGTACATAATACTTTATCAGACAACTTACATCAAATACACCTCAAATGAACAATATTACATCTAGTTGTTTATTGGGCAAAACCGGACAAGTTGGGTGACAATAAATCTTTGAGCTCTTCAAAGAAGAAGCTGTTTCCAGCAATGTAAGCTAACACTCACACATGGTACCATAAAAAATACTGAATACAACTTATAGTTTAAGCTAACAAAAATAAAACAAACATACATCACAGATGATTGATGCATACAGAGAAGTTCTCTATAAAAACCAACAAAGAAATCAAATCAGACGTAGCAATTCCCACTTTGTTTGTAATTTACTATGGGTAACAACCACTCAAACAAAACAAAAACATTTTCCTCCTTTATTTTTAACCGTTACAGCTACGTTTGCATATACTATTTCTCAAAATAGGAATACATATGTATGGGAGACAAAGATGTCATCAACAGCTTTTGGATGGACAAATTAATGTCAATTATTGGAAAGACAAACTTGTTATTCTTCCCCATTAGGAAAGATACTGAATTCCACTTCACTATGCTCGTGATGGATAAAAATGAGGGACGATGGATGCACTACAACTCCTTAGACCAAAAAGGGCAAATGATATTGAGCAAAGTTTCAAAGACGCAACAATAATGGTTGGTTTATTTTCACTTTTACTTAATACTTTTTCTAATGTACCTATGTCAATCTACCATCATAATGTGTCTACAAAATTACATTATAGCAAACATATACTAAATACATCTATTTTAACCAGAATGAAACCATCTAGAATCTTATGCAATATACAAGAACACATGCTAAAAATCTATTATCAACCGGCAAAAGACTAAAGATGACAAAATCAGATAACCGGTTGAGCACGATGCATGTGGACCTGATTGGTGATGATGTGCAAACTTTGACATGGCTTCTGTCAGAGGACTTTAACTACCCAATATTCAAGAGCTTTGACTTCCCACAACAAATGAAGAATCATAACTCTCATAAACTAAACCTGAATGTGGTATAGCTGTCATGCACTACATGAAGAAACTTTCACGTGGAGAGGAGCTTGAAGAAAATTTCCATACTAATAAAATGCACAATATGAGGGTTGAAACTTTGAGTGTTTTCCTTAACAACCCAAGGACATGGAGGTCCTAATGTAATGTGTACCTATGGTGTTTTACTCCACATACTAACAGTGTAGTGCACATAACACACAATGATGAATTCTCACTATGATTAGGTACTTGTGTAATGTTATTTATGCACCTATGCAGCGATGTGTACCCACACATATTCTTGTGCCTATGCATTGTACCAATGCAGTGTACCTATACAGTGCATCAAACGCAGTGTACCTATCCACTACTAAAATGCATTGTGCCAATGCAGTGCACTTATCTACTGTACCTATGCATTGTAGTGTACCAATGCAGTGTATCTATGCATTGTTATTGTACCTATAAAGTGTACCTATGCAGTGTACTTATCCAGTGTTGTGTACCTTTATGCAGGTATGTGTACCTATGCAATGCACCTATTATGTGAAGATGTATTGTGTACCTATACAATGTTTTGTACCTACGCAGTATTGTGTACCTATGCAGTGCTATATACCTATGCACGTATGTGTATCTATGCAGTGTACCTATTATGTGAACATGTGTTGTATACCTATGCAGTGCTTTGTACCTAAGTAATGTTGTGTACCTATGCAGGTATGTGTACCTAGGTAGTGTACCTATTAAGTGAACATATGTTGTGTATCCATATAGTGCTTTGTACCTGTGTAGTTCTATGTACCTATGCAGTGTACCTATTATGTGAACATTTGTTGTGTGCCTATGCAGTGATTTGTACCTAAGTAGAGTTGTGTACCTATTCAGTGTTGTGTATCTATGCGAGTATGTGTACCTATGTGGTGTACCTATTACGTGATCATGTGTTGTGTACCTATACAGTGCTTTGTACCTACGTAGTGTTGTGTACCTATATTGTGTTGTGTACTTATGTAGTGCTATGTGTACATATATAAAACAACGTTTTCGATGCAACAAGACATAATATATTCTATATTTATGTCAAATTTCTATAGGTATATGTCAAAACAAGGTTCATTAAAAAAAACATATTAATTCCAAAAAATAAAATAAACAACAACAATTACAAAAACAAAATTGTCATTAATATAAAATTGAACCCCAAAATCTTAGAAACAAATTAACAATTCAAATATTACAAAAAAAATCACAAAAATAATGAAATTTTAAGATCAAATCACAATAGTACATGTCTTCCAGTTATGCCCAAACCACATCTATTGCACTTCATTGCCCTAGATTCTTTATCTGAAAACTTTATCCTCTTCTTCCTCGGTCAGCCTGGTGGCTTTCTTGTAATGGTAGGTCTAATAAAATTCTCGATGTTGAAACCTCTCTAGGCTTTTCTATATCAGGAATAGGAACAATGGACTTGTCATAAAAAAGCCTAAAGAACTCTGTCTTAAAATAATCCTCATCATAATCATATATATACTCTGACTTCTTCCGAATCGCCATTAAATTTGATTAACCCTAAATAATGCATTAATGAATTAGGTTTTTAAGTTAAATGTGTGAAGTAAATTAGGTTAAAACAACCAAGTTACGTGAAATTAGGGTTAATGTAGAATTTGAACTTTTGTAGGGTTTTGTGCAGAATTACGTAAAATAAAGAGGAATGAAGTGTACCAGCTAGATTATGGAGGGAAGGCAAGTGTAATTACATCAAAGAGCTACCAAGCAAGAAGAAACCAAAGAATCCCCACTGTCCTAACGGTGGTGGTAGCGTTCGGACATTAGCTAAATTGCCTTAATCCTCTCTCCTCCTCATATTGGTCTAAAAGTACAGCAAATGCACATGATTGGTCAGCCCAAGTTCTGTCGCCTCAAATGCCTTCTCCAGCGCCTATAAATACCCCTACCGAACCACTTTCTAGCCAAAATCTCTCTACTTCTACATTTCTGTTATCCTTTTTACTTGGAGGGTTGAACCTCTCCCACTTTTATACCCTAACCGGTAATAAAAGTGGTAGTGTTTCAACTATTCCTCAGAGAAGGATTTGTTTTGTTTTTGTTTGTTGTAATGAAGATACTTCACACCTTCTGCTCGTCTATAGCAATGAGGTGTGAGTAGTCCGTTTATACCCTTCGGTGAAGGGTGAACACATGTGTAATATTGTTAAAGTTATGAAAATTCCGATGTTCTAATTATGTTTTAATGTTATATACCTCCCTTAATTGATGGATTGTTACATTTATAATATGCTTATAGTTATGAACATCGAGCAGTACTTAATGCTAATACCATACTATTTATAATTATTATATACTTTATGCATGATACAGTGATGTACATGGTTGGGCTTTATGTAATAGTCGGGAGATTGGTTATAGAAGGTTAAGTCTAGCCATAGCTAATACTTTTGATTTAAGGCATAAATTGAAATCCCATCATCAGTTAATCATCAACCTGCTGATTGAATAATTGTAGTAAACCTTCTGAATGGCTTACCTTCTGGTTTACTAAGGGTTATTTAATTGATACATGGTACATATACCTTTTGGCTAACCTAGTTAGTTGTTGTGTTGTGGTTCAATATACATCAGACCTCCCAATTGACTTTCTAGTAAAATGGGGGTTAATTGTTGTAAGGTGACATTTCCAATAACTTAAAGAATATATTGCATGTGGGATCCCCAAACTGGTGGGTACTATTTTATTATTGTTTTTCCACAGTTTTAATTAAATGTTTATTTAATTGTTCTAAGCTCACGCCACAAGCTATTCCATTGCACACTACATCCACAACAATTTCACCATTTCTGTTTTGAATCCCAATATTTAGCTCCCTATGGGTTCGACCTCGGACTTAAACCGAGAAATATATTACAATTTGACCACTTATACTTGGGTGAATGACATAATTTATGTCAGCTCACTTTCCAATGCCTACCGATTGATAAATTTTCATTCAACAATTTCTCAAACTCTAGACATAGTACTGATGTCCACTGACTGCATTCCTCGTTCCTATCAGATATCATTCTCATTATCTTTATCTA